ACCTCTGGAGGAAGAACCTTGTCCTGATATTAAGCCTAAACCTTCCCTGACACAGCTTCAAAGAATCCAGAGAGCATATCCCAAATCTGACACTGTCCCAAATTGCTTCGATGGGAGCACAGACCCTGTGAGTTACCATCCCTGCTTTTCCAAAAGCACTCCTTACAAACAAAAAATACCACCCAAAACCCCAAATCAAACCTTATAAACTCAGGAAATTTGAATTGCTGCAGAAACAAATGCAGGGAGTGTCTCTGATGCTGCTGTGATTTAACCATGGAGTTAAGAATAATATTAAGCTTTTGCATTAACTGCAAGGGAAGAATCTTTGGAAGAACTGGGAGGGCTTTTCTCCCTCAAGCTCTCTGGTTCTTTTGGCAATCAGGCTGAGCTCAATCAAAACTGATAAATGCAATAGTATGTAGGAGGGTGACATTTTGAAATGTTCCTTAATTTCCAGTCTGTATTTTGAGCAAATGTTTGTACGCTGAGCTCGGGTTGGGGATTGAGGCATATTGGATTATATGCTATTTGCTCGGTGTAAGCAGTGGCAATTTATTGCTGCAGATACATGTGATGCTACGCACAAAGATTAGTTCTATCCCCTCTAAAGCATGATTATTTTGGGTCCTCTTTATGCCTTAAATAGATATTCTTCTCATGTGATTTCCATCTTTTTGTGTCAACAGCCCAGGCTAAAGTTGAAATAAACATTGCATCAGTTTAATAGCACAGGCTCTGAGGAAATCTGCTCTCCATTATGGATGTTGTTTGGAAACCTCTTTAATTTTTCATTTTTCCAGTGTGTAATGCAGAGATCCCAAAGCCTGCTCAGCTCTGCTGGATCAGTCTTGTGCAGATCAACAGAGCTGATCAGCATTGATGAGTCCTGGCCCAAGCAGAGCAGCAGTGTGGTTTGGTATGTTTAGATTATAGACTCACAGAATGGTTTGGGTTGGAAGGACCTTAAAGCTCAGCTCATCCCACCCCCTGCCATGGGCAGGGCCATCTTCCTCGAGCCCAGGTTGCTCCAAGCCCCATCCAACCTGGCCTGGAACCCTTCCAGGGATGAAGCAGCCACAGCTTCTCTGAGCAACTTGTGCCAGTACCTCACCACCCTCACATGGAACAATTTCTTTCCAATATCCCATCTAAGCTGCCCTCTGGCAGTGGGAAGCCATTCCCTCTTGTCCCATCTCTCCAGGCCCTTGTGCAAAGTCGTTCTCCACTCTCCTGGAGCCTCTTTAGGCACTGGAAGGGGCTCTGTGTTCTCCCTGGACCTTCTCTTCTCCAAGCTGAACACTCCCAGCTCTCCCAGCCTGGTTCCATAGGGGAGATGCTCCAGCCCTCGGAGCATCTCCATGGCCTTTTCTAGTTATCCCTATTTTCGGTATCCCCATTTTTAGTTCGTGGTGAGGATCTGTTACAATGGTGAGCAACTGTTACAGTTTGTTGCATGCAGTTTTCCTTTTGGATGGGCTGCAGACCTGGTGCCAAGGCATTTGGCAGTTTGGAGTTGGCGTTGTCCAAAGAGTGGGAGGGCAAACATCGATAGAGGTGTTTTGATCAAAGCCAACCTTAGCAAAAGGGATGATTATGCTCACCCTGACTCTGTAGGCTGCAGTCAGCAGGACAGGGTGGTGTGACTGGTGAATGTGGTGTCTGTGCTCGTGGCTTGGTTTGAATAGCTCAACACACACTTGACTATCGGAAACCTCTTGACTGAGCCTTTTGCTCCTCTCTTCCAGCATCATCATGACGACAGAGAAGAGCCCAGCGGCAGACGCCGACAGCTCGGAGCAGCAGCAAGCCAAGGAGGAGGAAGGAGCTGCTGAAACACAAAAGCAAGAGGCTTCCCTGGAGGAAGGGGCTCAGCCCACATCGGAGGGGCAGCCTGGGGGGGGCCAGAAGCAGAAAGCCTCCAACGGCGACACCCCCACGCACGAGGAGCAGAGCAAGAAGGAACGTCGCACTTCCGAGGGCCGCGGGCTCTCCCGCCTCTTCTCCTCCTTCCTCAGGAGGCCCAAGTCTCAGGTGTCCGAAGAGGACAAGGACACTGATGCTCCTAAAGAGTCAGGAGGTGACCAGAGAGATGCAGGGTTAGGAGCCAGCCCTGATGAAGACATCCTGGTGAAGGCCCCGATTGCAGCTCCTGAGCCTGAGCTCAAAACTGACCCATCCCTGGATCTCCATTCCTTGAGCAGTGCAGAAACACAGGTAAAACACTCTGTTCCCTGGGGAACACAGGTAAAACACCTTGTTCCCTGGGGAACACAGGTAAAACACCTTGTTCCATGGGAAACACAGGTATAGCACCCTGTTCCCTGGGGAAACACAGGTATAACACCCTATTCTGTGGGGGTACACAGCACAGGTAAAACACCCTGTTCTGTGGGAAACACAGGTATAACACCCTGTTCTTTGAGGAGCACAGGTAAAACACCCTGTTCTGTAGGGAGCACAGGTAAAACATCCTCCTTCATGAGGTGTGCTCCCTTTGGCTATAAAATATGTCTTTTTAGCCAAAACTATAAAAGCTTCATACCCAAAGCTCGATCAGAAAAGCTCATGAGATGCCAACACCCTGTTCTGTGGGAAACACAGGTATAACACCCTGTTCTTTGAGGAGCACAGGTAAAACACCCTGTTCTGTAGGGAGCACAGGTAAAACATCCTCCTTCATGAGGTGTGCTCCCTTTGGCTATAAAATATGTCTTTTTAGCCAAAACTATAAAAGCTTCATACCCAAAGCTCGATCAGAAAAGCTCATGAGATGCCAAAAATTCTCTTGTCAGCTCTGTGTGGCATCCTGTCCTTCCCACTTGCATCCCTGCAGAAGTCTGTCCTGCAAAGTACCTGGTCTGGGAATTGTGCTCACACTTCACAGCATAACCTTAATTCCCTGTGCCAAGTTGCTGCTGTGCTGAGGCTTGGAATGCCATGTCACAACAAGGGTTCACATCCAGGGTTGCTCATGGGGATGTTCTTGCTGTGAAGGGGATAAAGGCAGGTCAGTGGCCTGAGGTGGAGATTGCAAGAGGACATGGATTTGGGAAAAGATTTCTTCAACTTGAAGGAGCACAAGCACTGCATTCCAGGGCTTGGTCATCTGCTCAGTCTGGGCTGGTGCTGAGCCTGCCAAACACAAATATTTTCTGCTTATGCATCATGTAGACAGGGATTTCTGCAGGGCATGTGGGCTGAGCCCAGCTCCTAGTAGCTGTCTGATGTCTGCTCTTTACAGCCAGGGTCATTTTTCATGCAAAATGTAAAGTTTTAAAGCTTAAAGTAGAAGCTGAGGCAGAGACACCCACAGGGAACATTCACAGAGCTGGTTGTTGATTTGGGGGTGTTGGGTGTCCTCTCTTGCTCCTTGAGTAATGGAAGCTCTGTTGTTACTCCTGGGGTTGCCTGGAGTTGGAGAAAGGTGGTTGTCCCTTTTCATCTGGGGGTTTCTTACAGCCCAACCAGCCTGTGTGTATTGCTGAGGCCACAGCACATGCAGGTTGAAATGTGGATTTCTTACCCACTGCCTTAAGCTCTGAGTGGCTCCAGAGCAGTGTCAGATAAGCACAGACAGATACCCAGTCAGATACCCACAAACACTGGTTTTTGGAGCAGAACTTTACAAGTCTGAGCATTGCTAATAGGCAGTAATTGTAAACCACCTTCTTAAAACCACAAAGTTGTAGAGAAGGTTGTAGGTAACACCTTCTTCTTTCTTTTCCCAAATTTATGAGCCTTGTGTTTTGTACCTCTGAGGGCTGGGCTTAGTAGGAGGGGAGAAGCTGAAATTTTTCATGTAATTTCAGCCCAGAAATTGTATTTTCAAGAGGAAATTATCCCTAGAAGTGCTCAAGGCCAGGTTGGATTGTACTTGGAACAACCTGGGCTAAGGAAAGTGTCCCTGCCCGTGGTGGGGAGTTGGAATGAGATGACCTTCAAGGTCTCTTCCAACCCAAACCAGTCTGGGATTCTAAATACCTGATTTCCTTCTGTATTTAACTTTGATTTGCTGCTCCTGAGCAACACATGAGTGTCTACCCCAGCCCTCCTTCACGGGCTGTTCGCTCCAGACGAAGCATTTGTGGCTTTTTTTTTTTTTTTCCAGTTCTTATTTTAGATCCTCGTCAGTGGCTTTCTGAACTGTGACACTCGGCAGATATTTCTGCTGTGAAAGCATTTGTGAGGTGCTGCAGTTTGATAAATGCTGACCGACAGGCATTAGGAGCTTTGCCTGATTCCCTGCTCCCGATTGTCCTGGTGCTGCTGGAGCAGAAGTCAGCAGCTTGTGGACATTAGTTAGATTTTAAATACCTCCGTGCAGTTGTGCCTGGGTGTGATTTCATGAGATGTGATGGGCTGAAAAGACAAGGTTTTGCTCTTCCTCTGCTGCAGCTCTGTGCTCCTGCTGCATCCAGCCCCTTCCATGAACTCATTTAACCTGCTGAAATGGCAGAGGGGGGATAAAAAACCAGCTTCCTTCCTCCTCCTGTGCCCAAAGTGCATCTCTTCCTGCTATGTTAGTGAGTTGAACTGGCTCATAAAGTGCTTCCCTAAGCAAAGGGACAGGGGTGTGAAGGCTGCCTTCCCTTTTTGTGGCAGAGAGCTGCTCAGTCAGCTCAGACGGCCACAAAATCTCCTCCCTGATCCCCTCTTAGTGCCATTGCTGCTATAGAACCACAGACTGGTTTGAGTTGGAAGGGACCTTAAAGATTATCCAGTTCTACCCCCAGCCCTTCCACTAGCCCAGATTGCTCCAAGCCCCAGCCAACCTGGCCTGGAACACTCTTAGGGATGGAGCAGCCCCAGCTTCTCTGGGCAAGCTGTGCCAGTGCCTCTGCACCCTCCCAGGAGAGAATTTCCTCCTAATGTGGTCTAACACTGCCCTCTGGCAGTTTAGAGCCATTGCCCTGTGCCAAGCCAAGGACCACTGCACACCAGAGGGACAGTGGGAGCACTGGGTGTCTTCCCTGGGAGGGGAAAAAACCCTTCCCAGTCCAAGAGGTACTGTCATTAACACCAGGAAGATTTGCCTGATGTAATCTGCCCTGATTCCTCTAATCAACCCTTACTTCTTTTTTTTTATGACATCCTTCATTAAATGAATACTTGAAAATTACTTGGAAGGGCTTTAAAAATTAATATCTTTCCCTTGCTCATCCCAATGCTGCTCCAGGCCCAGGGTTATGTGTTAGTCAGAGAACTAATCCTGGGTGAGATCCCAGCCCCGCAGTACTTGTTTTGTGTGATGGCTTGTTTGTTTGTTTGATACAGCTAACTTGGGGTGATGTTGGGGTTTCAGCCTGCACAGGAGGAGAGGAGGGACGAGCAGGAGCCAGAGGGTAAAGACTTGGGAGACAAGGAGGAAGGGGAAGTGAAGGAAGAGAGTGCCAAGCCAGAGCCGAAACCAGAAACTCCAGAGACCAAAGCAGAGAAGGATTTGAAAGCTGCCCAGAAGGCAGTGAAGAGACACAGGAACATGTACTGCAAAGTTGTCTTGCTGGATGACACCATTTTTGAGTGTTCTGTGGATGTAAGTACTTTTGGGGTTTGTTTCTTCTTCTCTCTCCTCTCTCCCTTCTGCTCCTCTTGAAAAATCACCACAAACACGATTTAATAGGGGCCTAATGTGCTGCCAGGGAATTACATGACAGGCTTTACTGCAGAACAAGCCTGCTGTAAGCTATAACAACTTATTTAGTGTGTTGTAAAAGCCTCTGGGTACTAGGAATCTTTATTTTTTATTGTTCTACAACTCCAGTGTGCCTTGCTTCGTAAAGGTGGGGGGAAGCTTAAAAAAACCCCCAAACATTATCCTCCTTGCTGTTCATCCTCTCTCTCTCTCTCTTGTCTGTATCCCAGACTAGAGTTTAAGGTTTTGGGCTAGGTTAGGATTGTCTGAATATCTCTTGCCCCTTTCCTTTGAGTAAAAAGGATTGTCAGATTGATATGTGCCTTTCTAGTCCCCCAAGGTAACTTCACCTCTCAGGCTGCTGCTTAGCTTAGCTCCTGGTGCTTGGATGCAAAGAAAAACAGGCTGTGTTTAGCCTGCAGTTGAATATATTTGAAGTAAACAATTTAAAATTACGATGTTGACTTACAGCACTGCAAACCCCTTCATCTGAGAGCTTTTCTTCTGCTTTAGGTTGTGCATTCTCTCTCAGGGCTGTGGTGCTGTCAGGGCAATAAAAAGCAAGCAGAAATCCCTATTTTAGTATTGAAGTACTTGTCTGGAATATTAATAATCTTCTACTTACCACTGGAGCATACTTCCACCAGCTTGTTTTCCCTCAGTCCCACTAGCTAAATGGGCCAGGAGAGGGTATCTGGGCACAGGGCTCCTTGTGAGAACAGTCACCTTGGGTGATCCTAGACAAGTAGGTCAGTGCTGGGTGTTTGTGTAACGCTGGCACTGCTGGTGTTGCCTGGGATCAGCTCAGAGCATCACTGCCCCCATCACCTTCCCCTTGGCTGGGAGTCTGTGTGCAGTCCCCAAAGGGAAACTGTTCCCCAAATTCTGGGGACACCTCGCTGTGGCTTTGTGAGTGAGTTTGCTGCAGTGATGCCTTTGGATACCAGCACAGACACTGCTGGTGGGAGAGCTGTGGTGGTGTGGTGGGTCCTAACTTGAGCAGGGCATGAGAAATCTCTCTCTAGGTGCAGAGGGTCGTGGTGGGCACTGCAGAGGGGGAGAAGGGACCACTGTGTCACTGAGACCCTCTTGCCTTGGCAAGCCCCTTGGCTTTAGCACCAATGGATTCCTACTCTGGCATTTTGAGAGTTTATTAAGGTTTAATTGGGAAGGAATTGCAAAGGTGTAGGCAAAGAGCAGCACAAATGCCTTTATCCAAGGAGAATTAGTCCTTTCAGGCATCTTTTCCAACTGACAGCCCTGGAACTCTTTTCATTCCTACATCAGTGCCAATTCCTTAAGGGATACTCAGCCTAACACGAACACTATGTTACCTATAGAGTCTCAATGTATGCACAAAGGATCTGACAGCTGAAAAGATGGAATAAAGCCAAGGAATAAAGCCAGGCTGTGGGGTCTTGGAGCAGTTGCCATGCAAAGATGAGTGACAGGAGAGCTGTGGGCACCAGTGAGGCATTAGTGAAGCTGATTTTGCGTCACTGAAGCTGCACTTTCTGCTTGCAAAGCCTCCAATGGAATGAGCTGCTGCTGGTTGCCATAGTTTTATGCCTCAGGGATGTTTTCTTTCATGCTTTTGGACTAAAAGGGTATCTGTTCCTAGGGCCAGTTCACTTCTGCAGGATTTGGGGGGAAAAAAAAAAGAGGAAATAGGAACGCTCCAAGTGTATTTCTGGGGGCAGGAAGTTGTGGTATCTGTTCCTAGGGCCAGTTCACTTTTGCAGGATTTGGGGGGGAAAAAAAAGAGGAAATAGGAATGCTCCAAGTGTATTTCTGGAGGCAGGAAGTTGAGTGCTGGGCAGCTTTGGGTGCACGAGGCAAACAGGAGAAGGTGTTCTCATCAGCAGATTGGGGTGATGGAAAGGCCACAGAAGTGGTGGACTTTGGTGCTGAGCTGCTGGTTTTGACTGAACCTAAGAAAAGTCAGGTTGTCCTCAAAATGAGCAACTATAGCAGGGGGTTGTGGCAGCAGTTTCATCTTTTGATCCACACCTGATTGTCTGACAGCCTGGACCAGCACTGGAGAGGTACCTTGGGAGGGATAATCCATATAAATTCTTGGTGCTTAGTGGGCTCCATTGGGAAGTTCATCTTTGGGAGGGCTTTCTGAGTGGAAAGAGAGAGTTCCTGTTGCCTCTCCATTGCATTTTTATACCTCATACTCTTTCCTGTCAGGAGTCCTTGCTCTGAAACAGCCATGAGATCTGATTTGGAGCTACTCAGAGTTTATTTTTCCCTTATTGGTAGTGTACAGTGTGGTTTGATCCCATTCCCTTCCTCCCCTCACCCATGAACAAGGACAGGCTAAACCCAGCCCATCCTACAGGATTTCTATGTCTGTTTGCAGAAACATGCCAAGGGGCAGGATCTACTCAAAAAAGTCTGTGACCACCTCAATCTGCTGGAAGAAGACTACTTTGGTTTGGCCATATGGGACACACCAACCTCCAGGGTAAGCAGCTGCTGTTCATGGTGATCTGCCCCTGGGGGGATTCAACTCTTCCAAAGGATCATCTCCCCAGGGCAGGAGGTGGGGAATAAGCTCCTCTTAAAATTCCTTGTGGTGTCCTCACCAAAAAAGGTCTGGGGGCCATCACAAGGGCAGAACTGATGATTCCAGGAGTGTGGATTTTAGTGAAAAAGCTGAAGTGAATCATAGAGTGGTAGAATCCTAGGGAACTTGGCTCTTAATCTGGAGAAAATTCCTTATATTAGTTTGCTGTAAAATGATGCCATTGATTTGCAAAGCTCCAGCTGAGGAAGTCAGGCTGCCCTGGCACTGCTGTCAGCATTGGGAAGGTTTGCTTGGAGCCACCCAAAGTAGTTTTGAGTCAAGACTTTGCCCTGCACAACAACACACATGACTCCATACCAAAACTCCAACTCATGGTTTCAGTTTAAGGTCTCTGTTTGCTTTGACTCAGGCAGTGTCTTATCTTTTAAACCCTTGGTTAGGCTTTAACTCAGCAATTACTCAAGCTGTCACATGAAGCCAAAAGCTCAGCTGAAAGGAAGGACCAACTTCTGTGTCCTTTAGACCAGTTATATTGGTCCATACTGTGACTTTTCCTGTGCTGCACCTCCAGCACTCACCACATTCCTATGGCTGATGTTTGCTATTAAATGCACAGGCAGAGAACAACCTGTCCCTGTGTGAGGCAGGCAGAGTTCCCTCTTGGGTTTGCTCTGCTCTCTCTGGTGTCTTTCTGTTTTTTTACGTGAAATTCCTTTCCATCCCGGATGTTTTTCACTCTGGGAGTTTGTTGTACCTGCAGAGGGAGGAGTAGGTGTACTTTTAAATACAAGTTAAGAGCAAAAACAGTTTAGCTGGAGCAGTTCAGCTTCTCCTGCTTGTGCTGTGGGTAACTCACTGCTACTTTGGGATACTAGGAAAATTTCTTCATGGAAAGGGCTGTGCAGCCCTGGCACAGGCTGCTCAGGGCAGTGATGGATTCATCATCCCTGGAGAGATTTAAAAGACATGTAGATTTGCAACAGCTCCAGTGTGGAGTCACCTGCTCTAGTTTGCTCTGATGAGGGAAAAGACCATGTTTTTTAGTTTTTTTGGGGAATTTTTCTGATTGTGTTTCACTGAACTTTAAAATCTGAAGCTCCACCTCTCTCCTGCTGTAACTTTAAACAAGATCTGACACAGAGTTACTGATTCACAGGTAGAAATGATGTTGATAGGAAAAGTATGAGCTCCTGCACCTCACCTGCAGCTGTGTGGAGCAAGCAGAGATGCACATATATATTCCTGGACAGGGAAAGGTTGTATGTGGCATTTTCCACCTGGATATTTAGGAAATAAACCTTCTGAGGACAGATCTTTTGCCTCATGAGCATAGCAGAGAGCGACAGCAGAACTAGGAGGTTGTGACACGTGGCTGAAGCAACTGGTGAGCACGGAGCAGCAAGGAGCTCATTGCTCTGAAAGGGAGGATTGTTTGCCACTGATTCATGCCCTAGTGGGATAAAAGTGCTGTTAATTGCTGTTCCCATCACTGTGTGCTGGATGCATGACTGCACCCAGGGCTCTGCTGCCCAAACCCAGCGTTGCCACCCCAGTAACGAGCAGTCGTGGCACCAACCTGGCATGGAAATACTCTGCTTAATTCTGTGGCCCTAAACAGGCAGCATGTGGCCTGTCTGCCTTTCAGATGGATTTTGTATCCCATTTTTTTGTAGGTTAGAAGGACAGGCATATAAAAAGCTAAGATTAGATGTAAGTATGGCTGTCTCCCTGCCATGCAGTTACGTGTCCTTCTGGTCTGGAGAGATTAGCTTGGAGGATTCAATGAGTTAATTCCTTCACCTCGGGAGACCTGGATGTCCAAATCCTGCTCAGGGCTGGGGAAAATGAAGAAGGTGGTTAAATGTAGCCTCTCCAGGAGTGCTGTTAGCCCCACACCATCACCTGCAGTGGGGCAGACCCTGATCTCTCCCAAGGGAAAGGCTCAGCCCATGGAAAAAAACAGGAGTTGTTTTTTGAGGCTTCTATTGCACCACCATCCCACAAAGTCCCAAATTACAGAGGGAGGGTGAAAAAAGGGATGTATTTCTAAATTTGTAGCGGAGATAATTACTAGAAACTTGAGTCATATTTGAAAGAACTGAAGTTTATGCCACACTCCTGTGAAAGATTCCAACCTTTCCCAGCAACTGGATGTTTTCCCTTGTATTCCAGTGATTAGGTCGTTATAAACCACAGCTAATAATAGAAAGTCTTGGTGATCTTTGCTCTGAACAGGGTAAGTAAGGAGACAGGCTGCTTAAAATGAATGCAAACATCCTATTTGCCTTATTTTAAAGGCTCTGGAGGGGAAAACAAAAGGATTATGCACATGCTCCTACACCACTGGCTGTGGCTGTGACCATACCTGCAGCTCTGTGCTTGCAGCCCTAATATCCTGCTTTGTTTTTCCCCTCCTGCCTCCCCTGTGAGTACCTGGTAGGTGAATGGTTGGAAATACACCCACAGAGACCACAGCCTGGAGTAAAAGTAGTGACAAATGTACTGTCTCTCCAGTTTCCATGGCTGCCTTCGTGTCAAATATTGTCTTTTTTTGGCTGTATTTTTAGCAATTTGCAGCTTGCTGTGGTGTTTCTGGAATGTCTGTTAAACTGTGAATGTTTTTATCCTCTTACAGACGTGGCTGGATCCTGCCAAGGAAATAAAAAAGCAGGTTCATGGTAAGTAGATTGAATTTATCATGTTGGGGGGGTGGTTTCTCCCCCCTTCCCTAAATAACGTGGCTTTGGTGAGCCATCCTGGGGGCCCAGGGGTGGGGAGAGGTCAAATGAGGGTGGCTGGAAGAGATCAGCACAAGTTCAAGCAGTCTGTGCATCCTTTCTCTCCTTCTTAAGTGCTTAGGGATGCTCTAGATTTAGGAAAAAAGTCATTTCCTTGGGAAAACATAGCTTGGGGTGTGTTTGCCTTAAGCAAAGCCACTGCCCATGCAGTGCTGGAATGGGAATCTGCTCCTTGTTGCAGGGTGGGAAAATGGGTGTCAGGGGGAACCATCTGAATCTCAAAGGAGATTGGGAGAGCCTGAGCAGAATTAGGTGCTGGAGCAAGGTTTGATGGACTCTGAGGCTGTTGTGGGGTCCAGATATGGGTACTGGAATGATAAATGGCTTGAGGAGTATCAGGGCAAATACCAGATGCTCTCCAGGGTTGAGTTTCAAGGTCTGCTAGCACTGAATTAGTTCAAGATGAGGACGGTGTCCACATTAAATGCATTTTAGAGGCTGTTGTTTTCCTTTGGGAGCAAGTCTGGCTGCTCTGGAAGTAAAATAGAGGGTTTGGGAAGTAAAATGCTGGTTTCTGGAAGTAAAATACTGGGGTTTTTTGGGAGTAAAATACTGTTTTATGAAAGTAAAGTGCTTTTTTGTGAATGTTTTTGGTGGGAGGCACAGATCCAAGTGTGTCATTAATTCCAGGTTAAGGGGGGAACACCACAGGGCTGTGGAGTAGGGAGAGCTCCTGGTCTTAACTTCTCTTGGAATCAATGGTAGGATGTGTGTGAAAGGCAGGAGCTGCTCCATCCATAAAATTCATCTTGTAAGTGCAAGGAACAGCAACCTGTTATGGAATCTGCTCCCCTGAGGTGGGATAAATGGCAAATGGTTTGGTTTTACTTGACTATATATTTTGCACGCACATATGGAGATGTGTACACCAACGTGTGTTTGTTTAGGTCACCTCTGCTCCCTAAAACATCCTCCTGGAATCCCTTGTTTTGAGCTGTGTGTGATGAAAACAACATGCCTTGTGTTTAATCCCAGTTATGGCGTTGCATAAGAAGTAAATCCAGGAATGCTTCGTCCCCCCTCTTCCCTAGGGGAGATTGGGATAAACCCCTGAGCGAGCTAAGCACAAGGGTAGAGCTTCTCCTCCTGATATAAATGTTGTTGTGACCTAATGTTAAAGGGCACAGCAGGGGGAGATGTGACTATGAAAATCACTCGCTCAGGACTTGGTTTCTACTGGGAAATGTGATCATAGAATCATAGAACCAACCGTGTTGGAAAAGACCTCCAAGGTCATTGAGTCCAACCCTACTGTGGTTACTAGACCATGGCACTAAGTGCCACATCCAGTCTCAGCTTGAAAACCTCCAGGGATGGTGAATCCACCACCTCCCTGGGCAGCACTTTCCAATGTCTGATCACTCTCTCTGTAAAAAGTCTCTTCCTAATAGCCAACCTAACCCTCCCCTGGCAGAGCTTGAGTCTGTGCCCTCTTGTCCTGCTGCTGGTTGCCTGAGAGAAGAGACCAACCCCCACCTGACTCCAACCTCCTGTCAGGGAGTTGCAGAGGGTGCTAAGGTCTCCCCTGAGCCTCCTCTTCTCCAGGCTAAACAATTCCAACTCCCTTAGCCTCTCCTCATGGCACTTGTGCTCGAGTCCCTTCCCCAGCCTCGTTGCTCTTCTCTGGACCTGCTGCAGCCCCTCAATGTCCCTCCTGAGCTGAGGGGCCAAAACTGAGCACAGGATTCAAGGTGTGGCCTCACCAGAATTGAGTGCAGTGGAACAATCACCTCCCTGGTCCTGCTGACCACACTGTTCCTGATCCAGGCCAGGATGCCATTGGCCTTCTTGGCCCCCTGAGCACACTGCTGGCTCCTGTTCAGCTTTCTATCTATCCAAACTCCCAGGTCCCTTTCTGCTCTCCAGCCACTTTGTCCCCAGCCAGATTGTTTGCAGGGAAAAGGGAGAGTAACTCCTTCAGCTGTGTCACCTAGGCTGTCCATGCAATATATGACGCCAATTCTAGGTGTGATTATGTGGATCCTCACTGCAGTTGATGCCTGTAATGGTGCTGTACAAGGTTTGCAACAAGCTGCATTAACATTTAGGTCTGGACTTGTAAAGCTCTTCCTATCCCAGTGCTTGGTGGCTTCATCCTGAGGTTGATGGTTGAGCCGTGCTGAGTCTAACCTGTGTCTGACCCCAGTGCATTAGGCTGAGCAGTGACTTAGCACATCCCCCTCTTGCCATGTGAAAATTGGGTTGAGTGATAAACCAATCCTGCCTCATTAATTTACAGCTCTGACCTGTCCTTATGAGTCCATTTCCAATCCATGGCAAATGTGGCTCATTGAGCTTCTTAGCAATGAATTTCATTTTTGCCACAAGTAGGAATTTCTGGCTGACAAGTAACATTTCTGTCTATCACAAAGCTGTTGTGGTGTGTGTGTGTTTTCTCAACCTCTCCTTTGGCATTGCAGGAGGCCCCTGGGATTTCACCTTCAATGTCAAGTTTTATCCACCAGATCCTGCACAGCTCACGGAGGACATAACCAGGTGAGTTTCCTGGGAATGCTCCTGCCAGGCAGGGAGCTCAGTCAGCAGAGCAGTGAATTTGGAATAGAAATGTTTCGTATTTGGGTGTTTTTCCATGTTTCAGAGAGGAGATCAGATGTCTTTGTGGCTTGGAGAGGGTTTGGTTTGGCTGTTCTTAGTGTTTTTACTCTCCACTGGAGTCCACACGTGTAAAGCAATGCCATGTGTACTCCTGGCATGGGTGTGTGTGTGTAGAAAAGCAAATTTTTATCTAAACCAAATATTTTCTGGTTACAAGTGTCCTCTACTCCCTTTGCAGACTGGAGGTGACCTTAAATCTTCCAGTTCTCCACACTGTTTACCTTGGGATTATTGTCCCATAAGTAGCAATGCAGGTAGACATTGGAAATGATCGTTGTGCTGCATTCATCAGTGGCATCAAAAAGAGGCTCTGATCCTCAAATGAATAGATTTCTCTATGTTCTCTCTTTATATTATTTGTCCTTTTGCCCCCAGGTATTACCTGTGTCTTCAGCTCAGGCAGGACATCCTCACGGGGCGTCTGCCCTGCTCCTTTGCCACCTTGGCTCTGCTGGGATCCTACACTGTCCAGTCTGAGCTGGGAGACTATGATCCCGAGCTGCACGGCCCAGATTACATCACTGAGTTCAAACTGGCCCCAAACCAGACAAAAGAGCTTGAAGAGAAGGTCGTGGAGCTTCATAAAACGTACAGGTGAGGTGTGGTGGCTGGAGGGTGTGTTTGTGCACAGCAGACTGAAACAGGGGGAATAATGGGGTTTGCTGCTGGTTTCCACCTCTACTCAGTGGTTTTGCTTTCAACAGGAGCTTTAGCAGTAAGGTGTGGATTGGCAGCTCCTGAGAACATTGCAGGTGCTGAGCTACAGAGAAGCTGTGGCTGCTCCATCCCTGGAAGTGTTCCAGGCCAGGTTGGATGGGGCTTGCAGCAACCTGGGTTGGTGGAAGGTGTCCCTTCCCAGGGCAGGGGTGGAACAGGATGGGCTTTAAAGTCTCTTCCAGCCCAAACCATTCTGGTATTCTATGATGAACATCAGCTTTTAGAAAAAGATCTAACACTTTAGGACAAAATCCTTCTTGAAGCTGAAATTCTGTTTTCCTGCATGAAGAAACTATGTTTTCAGAAAGCAGATGCAGAGTCTTGCATTGTTTATTAACAGGTGCTTTTTCTCAACAGGATAGCTATGAAAGTGAGTTTAGCTCATGTGAAAATACAAAATGTACTTGATTTAACCTTACCCTGTCTTCTTTTCATATATTTTCTTTGGGACTTAGGTAATTTCAGATTGCAATCAGGTCCTGTCTCTCTGTGTGTATGCTATAGCCTACAGCACATTTGAGGTTTTCTACTGCCACATTTAATGAGTAACATTCACTTCCCAGCCTGGAAGGATTCCAGGTGATGCAGAAGGTACAACCCTGCAGTTAGGTGTTTCCTAGTGCAGCCATGAGCATGTTCAGGTCTGTGTCTTCTTCAGGTAGGGTAGAACAGCTCCTGGGAATCCTCCTGGTACCAATTTCAAGGGTGACAGTAACCAAACCTCTTCCTCACCTTATTTTGAGTTTATTTTCTTGGATGATCTCCAGGGTTGGACTGCAGAAGCTCTGGGGAGCTGTGTGCTTGTTGGTGTGGAGAGCACCCAGCCAGCAGCTGCTGTGCCCTCCTGGAGATACTTTGGGGTGTTAGGGGTAAAAAAAACCCCAAACCATTAAACCACTTGGTGATACCTTCAAGCAGCAGCCCCTTGCCCTGTGAAAAGCTGCTGGTTAATGCACTGACAACACCAACAAAGCAAAGACAAGACTGAATAACCTGAGTGTGGTGGGAAGGGTGGACTTGGGCCCCTGGCTGTGACCAGAGCTGCAATTAACACCTCACTCAAGCCTGCAGATCAATACTTTAAATTGATTTCCTTCCATTTGCACGGAGAGGAGAGGAAATGAGGGAAAATAAGTACCAAACCACTGACAAGCTTCTTGACTTGGGAGTCAAAGGCCGTTGGCTGTGCTGGGAGTGGAGGATCACAGTGCTGAATTATTCATGACTTCGTTAGAAGGAGACTTCAAGGTACAAGGTGTAGTTATATTTCATCTGTCTGCACGTGCAGGAGGAAGCAACACGTCCCCAGTTAATTTCTGGCCTGAAGTCTGTGAACATTAAACTGTCAGAGGGTTTTCAGTGGGGAATCACAGAATCATGGAATCGTTCAGGTTGGAAGAGCCTTTGAAGACTGAGCCCCCAGCACTGCCAAGACCACCACTAAACCACATCCCCAAATGCCACATCCACATGGTTTTTGACCACTTCCAGGGAAATCTCTGCTAAACCATGCTCCAGCTCTTGCTGCTGTCATTGCAAAGCACAAGGCACGTGTCTGATGGTGACTGCTCCTGGCTCTTTCCCACAGGATTGTCCTTACAGTTGTCTTTGTCTGCCCTGTCTCCCACCTCTACTGCCTCTATTTACATCACACATGAGATGTATGCGAGTGCTCCGTAAGGAAGACATCAAAGGAGGGAAGAAAATGAAATGTATGCAGCTGAATTCTCTCCCAACAGAGCTGTTAATGTACCTCAGACACCAGAAACTTATTAACAAGGGCACTTCAATAACGTTGATAATGGCCTCCATTATCAGGATGTCTCTGTTAAGTTGTGTGGCCCCTCCTGCAGACAGGGTACCATCTGTTCCCAGAAAACGCCTCATTCATCTGGTCCCCCTGGCCGGAATCACTGCTGAGTGGTCTCAGCTGTCTGTGTGTTTGGTTTGGAGAACAATAGCTGAGCTTGGGGAGGCCCAAAGGCAGGAGGTCTGTGGGGACAGGACCTCTCACCCTGTGCCTGCTGCTGAATCAGTTTCCTCTGCTAGATCAAGTTTTGTCCTCCTCACTGCTCTCCCTTGCTTCCTTCTCCAGTATCTATACAACTCCACAGGAATAAAGTGCATTCTTGTTAGGGAGATGTCTCAAAGCACAAATTTGAGCATTCAGAGTGATTTCATAATTCATCAGCTAGGCACAAAGTTGTACTGAAAGCAAAAGAAAATCTAATGAGTTTCATGAAGTCTGATCTATCCCTTCTTAAAATCAACAGTTTGGGGAATACCAAACCCTTTCTCTCTTTCCTCAGATCCATGACTCCAGCCCAGGCAGACCTGGAATTTCTTGAGAATGCAAAAAAGCTGTCCATGTATGGAGTCGACCTTCACCAAGCCAAGGTGAGAACCAGCATGTGTGCACCTGCCTGTGGATTCTGTAATCTGATTATCCTTCCCTTGCAGGAGCAAGTTTAGCTGTTTGGGGAACCTCCTTTTGAGAGACAGAGGAAATATGGAAATACAGACACACAGCAGGGATGCCGCAAGCATTCCTGCAAGAGAAGGGATTCTTCCTGATTGTTTATTATTTATATATCACAGGAAACTTTACAAAGCTCCTGATGTGGACAGGTCCTTGCTCTGGGCAGCTTAGAATACAGTATATGTGCCCTGCCATGTGAGCTTCTGTCATGGTTTAACCCCAGCCAGCAGCCAAGAACCACACAGCTGCTCACACTCATCCACCAACGGGATGAGGGAGAGAATCAGAAGGGTAAAAGCTAGAAAAACTCATGGGTTGAGATCAAGGCACTATACAGAGTCAGTTCCAAAGGCTTCCTGTAGGTTGGGTTTATACTAACATTTCACATGAGTGTAATGCGATGCTGATGTCAAACGGAAGATCAACAGCACTATTCTCTTGAAGGCAGAGAGAGACAGAGAGAATATAAGCAGATTGTGAAGAGAGAGGATGGCACTTATTTTTACAATAGAGCAGTTCAATCCAAGACATTTCGGAATTACAACCTTAAAAAAGTGTGCTAAATAGACATTTTATATTTTTTAACACCTGGATGTTATAACATGACTCCTGACCCCCAACTTCCTTGCCAGTGTGGCAGTACAGAAAGCAGCAAAGGCCTTGGCTCTGTGATAGCTCTGCTCAGCTATAACAAAAACATATCTACATTATCAACTCTGTGTTCTGCACAAATCCTGAACATAGCTCCATACTAGTCACCGTGAAGAAAGTTAACTCCACTTCAGCCCAAACCAGCACATCAGGGAAATGCAGGATGGACTCGAGAGGAGCAACCAGCAGTGCAGGAGGGATCAGCAGGAGTGAGGAGGTTGTCAGGAGAAACATGAAGGAAAACAAGCCTGGAACTGGGAGCTGGAGTCTGTGTGGAGGGGAGATGAACTGGGGGGAGCACCAAAGGGGTAAAAGTAGATGTTGACCTGAAACTTGTAACCTTGACGCTGTTTAAATCCTCATCTGCTTTCCCAGGACTTGGAAGGAGTAGATATCACTCTGGGAGTCTGTTCCAGTGGCCTTCTTGTTTACAAAGATAAACTGAGAATCAACCGTTTCCCCTGGCCCAAAGTCCTGAAGATTTCCTACAAGCGCAGCAGCTTCTTCATCAAGATTCGGCCGGGGGAGGTGAGTCCTGGCTCCTCTGGGCTTGTGTCAGCTTTAATTGCCTTGTGATTGTCTCCGTGTGTGCCACGGGAGCAGCGGGAGGGACCGGGCTGTCCTCTGGTCAGGGTGGCTGGTCCAGGCTTGGAGCTGAATCCAGGTAGAGCTGGAGCTACAGCCTTGCGGGTGACAGTTTCACAACGTGTCATCCAGCACCACCTCCTGGTGCCGCGGGGTATTCCCAGCATCCAGGGAAACTGATAGCTGAAATTGGAAGGGGACTAACTCCTTTATTTTGGAAACAGGAGAGGACAAAGGCTTCTTGTCTTTCTTTCATTAAAAGAAAACGATTAAAAAGTACAATTACCTCTTTACTGAAGTGCAGGAGGCAGAGCTGCCTCTTATGAACAGGGAGATCCCTGGAGCAGCCTGGTCACTGGATTCACATCAGGGAGAGAGGCTACAGTGAGGATCTGCTTCCTTCCTCCTCTTCCTTTTCCTCCTGCTTCCACTGCCATGACCCACCCTGGCAGGGAGGTCGGTGCTTGACCCTGTCCCACAGCTGGGCAGTGTCACAGGGGGTAAATGAGTCTGACTGCAAAATCCCAGTGCATCCTGAGAGATGCCCAGGCATATGGCCAAGCCCTGTCTTTGCTCTGACCTGAGCACCTCCTGCACGTTGTGGAGCGAGTTGAGCAGTTTGTGCTGCAGCAGAACAGGGTGATGGGGTGGGCACTGTATTCCTGCCATGTTCATTTTGTGCTATACCTAAACAACTTACCTGTTCCACAGCAAGAACAGTATGAAAGTACAATTGGATTCAAGCTACCAAGTTACCGAGCAGCAAAGAAGCTGTGGAAAGTATGTGTTGAACATCACACCTTCTTCAGGTGAGTGTTCCGAGCCGTGAAGGATCACCTTGAGGGACTAATGCTTTAGGAAAATGAGCAGTGTTCCTTATTCCTTCAGTGCTCCTGAGGGTTTGAGAAAAATTGGAGTGAACTGGTTGGTTTTGCAGTAAATTTGCAAGCAGGTTCTGCTTCATAAGCCACATAAGCTCTTTGCTGGAGATGTGAGACTGTCACGCCAACGCCGTTGGTGCGGGTTGTCTCCTTGATTAACCATCAACTGGGTGCCACCAGACTCCTTTAATTTCTACTTTAACACCTCTGGAGGTATGATTTTGAAATGGGGTGTGTGTTTTCCAGGCTGACTTCCACCGAGGCCATCCCAAAGAGCAGGTTCCTGGCGCTGGGCTCCAAGTTCCGCTACAGCGGGCGGACGCAGGCGCAGACGCGGCAGGCGAGCGCCCTGATCGACCGCCCCGCGCCCCAGTTCGAGCGCACGGCCAGCAAGAGAGCCTCCAGGAGCCTCGATGGAGGTGAGTCCCTGCTCCTTCCCCCTTCTGCAGTCCCCAGGAGGCTGAAATGCTCCTTAAGTAACCCCTGAATTCCCTGCGTACAAACCCTCCAGTGTAACTCCTCACTCAGACCTGGATGTAAACCACACACTGATAGTCTCTGAACAGAACTGAGTGACAACAAGGATGTAGGTGGGTGCTGAAGGCTTGTGGTTGTAAAGGTATTTCCCTCAAAGCTTTTTTCCTTTTGGAAAATCAGGAGTGATTCTATTCACTATTCTAGGATTTGTTTTGTTTAACCGAACTTCTTAAATTCCACAGTTTTCCCGTGATTTTTTGCCACCACTGAAACTTTTCCAGTGTCTCTTAAAGTGATGCTCAGGTTGGAGTTTATGGTGTGTCAGGTGGGCTCATCCCTGACATTTTAAGGAGAGATGGATAGCAGCAGGCTAAAGGAGGGGAGGCATGGAAAGGGGAGTGTCTAAGTGTGCTCTCCTTGATCTGCATCACAGGATGCTTGTAAAATTAGGGTCCAGGAAGAGTGGAACATCCCTTAGCACCAGAAGGATCCAGGGTAAGGGGAACATCCCTTTGCATCATGAGGATCCAGGGAAAGGAGAGCATCCCTTAGCACCATGAGGATCCAGGGAAAGGGAAATATCCCTTTACACCATGAGGATCCAGGGAAAAGGGAGCATCCTTTAGTGCCATGAGGATCCAGGGAAAGGGAAACATCCCTTAGCACCATGAGAATCCAGGAAAAGGGAAATATCCCTTTGCACCATGAGGATCCAGGGAAAGGGGAGCATCCTTTGGCACCATGAGGATCCAGGAAAAGGGAAATATCCCTTTGCACCATGAGGATCCAGGGAAAGGGGAGCATCCCTGTGCATCAAGGGCACCTGATGGAGCAGGGACAGTGTTGCTTTGAGCCCCAAGGTTGTGCTCCAGCCCAGGAGGGACCAGGACTGCCCCAGCACCCTGTAGCCAGCTGCAGCCAGGCTGTCCCTGCTCCTGGGCCCAGTGGCACTCCAACCTGAGCTTTATGCCTTGGAGCTGGAGGGAAATATCTGATCTGAGCTCTGTATGGCAGCAGAGCCAAATTCCAGCTTCCTGCAGCCTGTGAGGCTCCCCAGGCACAATGCACTGGGGCAAGGGGAACAGTGTGATTAGTTGCCCCTTGGCCATGGCCTGTAGACTATTATGACCCCAGATGAGTAGAGAAATACCAGCTACAATCCCACACCTGGATGTCAGAGCTTGGAAAGGAGCAGCCTGGGGCTGTGAGGCTCCTGTCCCCACTGAAGTCTGTGCCTTTGCCATGTGGGCAGTGGTTAACGTGTGCCCCATTTCCTCAGCTAAACGTGCGACCCAAAAAGTTGAGTTCAGGACCGTAGAGGAAGAGAAGCAGAAGGAGGTGGTGGTGGTTGAGGTTCCTGAACCAAAACCAGCGGATCAGATCCGAGAGAAGCCAGGTATAGCTGTGGTGGTGGTGGCTACAACTCTCTGCAGTGCCTTTCCTATCTTCTACGTGCTTGTTCCTGACAACTCCAAGTTTCACCAAATCTGGCAGCTTTCTTTTCTTATTCCTTTGCAAGAAGAGTTTCACAGTGAGAGGAGACACAGCACAGCTCTGGGAGTCTCCTTAAATTTCCACCTTGCACCTGTAATTCTTGTGGGTAGGTAGGGGAAAAGCTTAGGATGTGCTAACACTTGAGAACTCTTGTTAAAATTAGCTGGTTTTGTAGATGTGGGTTAGAAAACTTGAAAGGTTGATCTTGAAACTTCCTGTGAAGCTTCTGAAATTCTTCATCCTTGGACCTGCTTGACATTTTGGTTTTGTTTTTTTTTGAGGGGGGGAGGGTTGAGAAATGCCACCCATTTTAGTCTGTGGAGCTTATATTTCTCTTAAGATAGGTACTGTTAATTCTTATTAGTGCCCTTCAGGGGTGTGTAGATACAACAGCACATGTGAAGACTAATAATATCACAGTGTTGTCAAATGTTTACAGTCTTCACCACAGGGTAACAACTGCCTGTGGTGCCTTAGGGCTGGAGATAATTCCCCTGCAAATATTTTGGGTACCACTCTACTTCCCTCCTTCTACCTGGATGTCTTTTACAGTGTGCTTTTCACATGCCTGTTTTTTCTAGTCTGAAATCTAGCTCAAGCTTTAATGAAATAGTGTGGCAGACTTCTCCCCTCTGTGGCCATGCCTTGAATCCTCACTAGTCAGCGTCACCTGGTGGGGAAAGCCTGATGCTGTAAAAGCAGAGGGTTGGGAATTCCAGACACCAGGGTAGGTTTGATCACTCGAGTGCATTTAATTAAAGCTGCTAGTTTTTATCTAGGTTTTTTATCTGGCTGTGTTTTGCCAGCCAGCACCTGCACTCCTCCAGACTCTGCAGGCAGAGCCCGTCCTGGTCCCACGCTCGGAGCCGTTCGTGTGTCCCCACGTCACCCTGTCTGGGCAAGGAGCCTACAGAGCTTATTTGTGTATTCTTTTCCCCTCTCATCCAATGCACTGTTGGGTCTGGCAGCACTAGGAAGGCTGCTACACAATTCCATAGTGGAAAATGTCTGTTGAGCTGTCTATTTTGCAAACCTCCTTGCTGTTCTCAGCCGCTGAGAGGGATCTCCTCGCTCTCTCCTCTGCTGTGGTGACCATGCGGGTCTCCAACTTCCATTAACTCCTGCAAACCTCTTTCTAGCCAAACACGTTCTTGAAACTTTTGAAATGAAACCCATTGCAGAGGAGGAAGAGGAGGAGGAGAAGGTAGAGGTGGTTAAGGTTCCTGTTGCCAAGCCCAAGTTACCGGAGCCGTGGCAGCCGCGGTCAGGTACAGCCGCCTCGGCGTTGGGCAGAGTGTGGCTCCTATGCTCTCACTGCTGGGGTGAAGTGATGCAGTGCTGTAGGACAGAGGTTGCACTGGTTGTGGTGGTGTTTGTTGCCACTAAAATCACACCTGGCTTTGCAGTGTGTTGCTTTTCAGGTGTGCTTCTGGCTGAGGTGAGGAGGTGCCGTGCCGTGGCTTGGCTGTGTGTGCCTGCGTGTGGAAATGAGTGTGCAGTGGCCTCTTAACACTCCTCCCTTACTGTCCCTTTTTGTAAGGTTTGTTCTCCTGGGCTGTAGGAATGTGCAGTGCCTGAAAATCAGGTTATGAGATCCAGGACTGCTGGAGGTCACCTACATTCTGCTTGATTTCTTCACTAGGGAGCTGCTGCTTCCCTAGTTGGAGAAGGGTGTCAGAGCAACATCGCTGCTGCAGGCAGGTTCGCCCTAATCATAATTAAAAGGAGAGTTGATTAGTTGTTGCAGGAAGAGGAGACTGAAGCTGTGAAGGGAGGCAACTGGGAACTTCACCTGTTTCCTTGGTTAGTATGGAAAACACTGGAGGATATTCCATGGGATGGGTGGCAGCAGAGCAGACATCAGCCAGTGTCACGCCTGAGCACATCCAGAGCTCTCCTGCTGCAGCTGCCCTTTTCCTCCTCCTGACACTTCTGTTCCCAGCAGGGCCTGTTGGGGGGATGGTCAGGGTGGTGCTGATCAGTCATAGAATCCTGGAATGGTTTGGGTTTGAAGGGTCCTTAATGGTCACCCTGTTCCAACCTGTATTTTGTGCCTCGTATTTTGGAGCAGAGCTTTTTACTGTGTTTAAACCATGTGTCAAAATAGCCAAAGGTGGTTAATCAGGAAAATGTGACTAAAGTACAGTTCTGGGCAGCTTATGGTTGGATGGCACAGGAAAAGCTTGGCCTCTGGTATGATTTTTCCTGTGTGTCTTGATGCTCTGTGAGAGGAGCAGGAGAGGTGACCGTGCGGATTTACTGGTGGCAGTATTCCCTCTGCTGCCTCATCTTTGAGGTGGCATTTTAACACATCCATAACTTTTTTAGCCAAACCTGATCTTGGCAGTATTGAGATAAGCCCAATTGAAGAGGAGGAGGAGGAGGAGGAGGAAGAGAAAATGCTGGTGGTGAGAGAACTAGAGCCGTTCCCGAAGGAGTCAGGTACCACCGCGACAGCTTTGCACTCCCAGCATCCTCCTCATCCCGACTGTCCCTGCCATCTCACCTCTGTACAACCTTCCCAGCGGCTGTCACCGCTTCCGTGGCATAAACACACCGGGACACGGCCCTGATTGTCCTTCTGAAAGGATCACACAGTGTCTGGGTCACAGAAATGAACTGCTGTGCTGGGAACCAGGGAGAGAACAGAGCTGGTGGTGCTGGGGGGTGGGTTACAACAAGATGTGGTGTCCAGGAGTTTGTCTGGAAGGTATAATTCCAGTCTCTGGAAAATCAGGTTCTTTTTTTTGCTCCTCCCATCTTGTATGTTTTTGGCCATGTGGATACTTTATTCTCGCCATGTTTTATCTAAATTTTTACCTTATCTTTTCAGTGGGACAGGAATTCTTACTGAGGAGTTGCTTGAAATTATGGTTTCTTTTAAACACCAAATTTTCTAGTGTCTTTGACTGGCTGGCTGGACACTAGTGACCTGGTGTTGCCTGGGGTAGGCCACAGTGTGACCCTGCTGTGACTTTGGGAATGTGAGACCATGTCAAAGATACCATTTGATGTGACTGGGTATACTTTTAGTGGAACATCCATAAAAATCCAACATCAGGAAGACCAGACAGCTTGTTGTGTCTCTAGGTACACACAGAATTAACTGGGGCTTGCTTTGTCACACAGTCTTGACTTGAATATTTGGTTGGAGTTGGGTTTTCAGGGTTCAGGAACTGTCTGGGAAGTCAGGAATGGAAGGAGAGAAGTAGGCAGTTGATTTTGTGTGGACCTAGTGCTTGTGTTCAAGAGTGTCATGCTCTGGAAAGATGATGTTTTGGCAGCATGCTGTTCATTTCTGCACTGTCACTGACCTGGAGGTGCTGGGTATCTTCCCACGCGCTGCCTTGGAGATACCCAGCTCAGACACGCAGCCCCAGCCTGCTTGGAAACCCACCTGGAAGCTGCTGTCAAGTGGAGAGCAATGCTTGTTGATCATCCTTTTGTTTGAGTTGCTTAAAGGATTGGGGAGGGAGGGGAAGGCTGTGTTTCCCTTCCAGAAACCCCCTGTTTCTGGATGAGGAGTGCCCATGAGCCCAGAACTCCCCATGCTGTAAGTGTGTGTTTGCTGGTTGGAGTGGAGTTCGTGTCAGCTACGTGTGAAGGACCCAGAAATCCATGGCACAACGTCAAAAACAGATTTGCCTTTCTGGTGTGGCTTCTCTGCAGAGTGCAAGCTTGCTTTTTTGTAAACCATCTGGTGTGGAGTTTCATTTGATTTTATTTAAACCATAAGGAAAATAATCTCAACTCTCCTTTACTAAACGCACAAGCTGCTTCGCTCAACATCTTCCTTTCTTTTCCTCCTTTTTTTTTTCCCTCCTCCTCCTCCTCCTCCTCCTCTTTTTCTTTTGAAATGACAGCACTGTAATTTGGAAAGACTTTGCCTAGAGCTTTACAAAATTACCTGCTCTGAACCTTGTCCCTGTGTTCCCCAACCTCAGCAGTGGCTGTGATAACCCCCGAGCGGAGTCCCCGACCCACCTCTGCCCCAGCCATCGCCCAGAGCCACGTGGCAGAGCCAGTCCCAGCCAAGCCTGATGTGAAGGATGTGGCCACAGTTAAAGTAGGAAAGGAAGCAGCAAAACCTGATGTGAGACGTGAAGAATTCCCACCGGAGAAAGCCAAGCCAGAAACAACTGATGCCTCAAAGGTAGGTGAGACCAGAGTCTCTTTGGAGGAGCCAAGCTGGAGCATTGCTCTAGAAGCTTCCCCAGAGCAGCAGCTCTGTCCACCTTCCCCTCAGGCCAGTGAGGGCTCTATCCCTCATCCAGGGGGAGTCAGGCATGGGGATCTGGGTGCCAGGGAAATCCCAGCCCTAACATTCCATATGGAAGGAGGAGCTCCAGGACAGTTGGGGTTTGGTGGCTGCACTGGAGCCAAGTGCAGCCTGCTGATAGGTGGATAAACACACTGGCAAGAGCTGCACGTGGTTGTGGTGCTCACCCATGGCCAGCCTGTCCCTGCTGGTTCCTGGAATGACAGCGGGAGGCAATTCCAGGGAAGTGGGTGATATGGATCTGGTCTGCAGCCCAGCTTGGAATGCAGATGTTTTTCAGCTGGGAGAGCTGTTAGTGCAGTGCTGCAAACTGGACTAAAACTTTAGTTGGGAATGGCACTGGTGAGACCTTGGGGGGTTTGTTGTTTACATGCAATTTTTTTAACTATTATTTGATCTTTCATCACTTGTCTGAGGCCTTTGCTGGGGTTGATCTGTGTGTGCTGTTCTCATGAGTCAGAATAATGTGCAAAATAATTGTTGATGTTACAGTGTCCTGAATGTTCTGCAGGTGATTGACTGAAACCTTGTGGTGGTGCTCAGAGGTGTTTGCCTTGAGACAAAATTTTCACATTACTCCTAAATTTAGCATTGCTGGAGCCACATTTCCCTATAACAAATCACAGTGTGTCTTGGGTGACATCTCCAGGGGAGATCCCTATTAATTAAGGTTGAGAGATGGAGGTGATGAAAAGACAGTGGCTTCAAAATGTTTTGTGGGCTGTGTGGGCAGTAATTTTTCATGTTTAATTAATACTGAGTGATGAAATGGAAGTGCTGAAGGGATCCTCAAGCTGACACTGTGGGGTGGGCACCAGGGCACAGAGTTCCTGCACTGTTCCTGCTCAGCTGCTCTCGTGTTACACTGAGAACAAGGAAATTGTACTCATCCCATCTCAGTTATTACAGGTTTTTTCCTAAATGCTTAAACATTGGATTTTTTTTCCCCTTTAAATAGAGGTGTGGGAGGAAATTATGGATTTGAACGTGCCAAATTTACCCTGTTTCTCCAGTGTAGCTGCATCACTTTTAACACCCACTGATGCCTTTGCCTTCAAAGGATTTGGCATTCCAGTTTCCCTAAAATACTTCCCTTAGAGTGTTAAGACAATCTTGGCTCTCTCCTTATGGACAGTAAACAACCTAATCAGTGATGTTAGGCTTGGCTTTGTGGCTAGGCCTCTTCTTACTGCCTCTGCCAACATAATACCTGTGCATATAACCAATAATCTTCTGGTTTTGAGAAGGTCTGTGTTGATTTGAGCATGTTGCTTTGTTGGGATTTCACTGGGAGATCCAGCTGCAAATGACATTTGAAAACACTGCCTGGCCAAGCTAATGCAAGTGGGAAGCCCTTCTTGAGAAGCACTGGAGAGCACTGGTTTCAAACCCAAATAATTCTCAAGCTGGAGGAATTATTTCCTGTGCTGTTAACTAACCGAGCGCCGTGGAGCTGCCGTGTCATTAACCTTGCCCAGGGCTGCATGTTGGTTTTTTTGCATGTTCTCCCCTTCCCCAGCACTTCAAAACCAACTTAATGCAGCTGTGTTTGGAAACTGAATGGTTTCTTGAAACATATCTACTAACAAGAAATGTTTTTACCGATTTATTTCTTAAATGTAGGTGAGGAAAACACACATTGAGGTCACAGCCCCCACCACGAATGGTGCTCAGCCCCAGGTTTGTGCTAATCCTTCAGTTGAGGTTGCTCACAATATTTTTTTTTGGTGGAGGTTCAACGTAGTGAAATGAACCAACAACTTTTTTTTTTTCTGTTTTTATCACTGCCCAACAGCAGCAGCCTGCAGAGAAAGAGGAAGAGCTGATAAGAATGAGGAAGGTTAGCCCTTTTACCCTTTCACCAGCCAAAATTGCCATATCATTCATGCATCTGTAACCTGTTTAAAAAGACAGTGCTCCAATTTCTTCATCTGTTTTGGGTTGGGGTGTTGGTTTTTTGGTGGTTTTTTTTTGAACTGCAACTATCAAACAGTTGATTTGAAAATGAATAGCTTTTTTGCCCCATAGCTGAAATTCTGCATGTCAGATGTTCCAAAGAAGCACACATGGTTTGAGTTACAAAATTCAGCTTCTCTGTAACAAATTTGGTTAGAAACTAGAGAAAACTCTGGTGTGCATTCTAAGGAATGCTCAAAATTGGAGAAAAATGTGGAGGAGAATGGTTTTTTTGGTATTGGTTAAGTACTAGGGACACATCCAGGATGGGAAGGGTGGTTAAGGCAGAGTCACTGTGGGACCTTGTCAAGGTCACACCAGGTGGCACAGCCTGACCCTATGGGGTGGGCAGGTGTCTCCAGTGACGTGGTGACCTGTGCAAGGCCTCCCCAGCACACCAGTAACTCTCTCTGTGGGGAGCAATGTCCCTCGAGGCTGGAGCTGAGTCCCCCTGGAGCTGTCTCTTTAAAGGCCTCATTGCATCCCCATTCTCCATGAGCCAGACCCCATTCCTGGTGGTGGCCTCACCCCCACGCTGCCACAGCTCTGCACTCCCAACCTTGAGTTAACTTTTTTTAATTTGCCAATTTATGGAACCTGCAAGACCAACGTTTTAATTTTTTGTGCTTTTTTGTTGTTTTGTTTTGTTTCCCCCTTTCATTTTCACAGAAGAGATCAAAGAGGCTAGATGGTGAAAACATTTATATCAGGCATAGCAATTTAATGTTGGAGGTTTGTATGAACTTGAAGCTTTTTTTTTTTTTTGAGTTGCATTTGCCTAGACCTTCTGCATCTGCGCTGAACTTCTTCCTCTTCTGCTGCTGCTGCCTTTGTTTTTGCATGTTCTTGCATGAAAGACCTTTTGGTTTGATTTGGGTTTTTAATTATGCTTCTGCATGGTGACAGTAAACATGACAACTCTTCCTTCTTCCTCTTCTGACTTTCATTCTCTCATACTTACCCAAAATATATGATTGGCAGTGCTCAGCTCTGCTCTGGGACCCTCTGGGTGCTCACAAGAGCATGGATTGTATTGTAGGTGCCTTGATCAGGTTTTCTTGCTTGAAATAGATTCTTTTCCTGAGGAGAAAGGTCAGTCTGTGAAAAGACTAAATTCAGGATAAGCTGAAAATTGGAACAGGAGAAGCTGTGGCTGCTCCATCCCTGGAAGTGTTCCAGGCCAGGTTGGATGGGGCTTGGAGCAATGTGGGTTGGTGTAAGGTGGCTCTGCCCAGGGCAGGGTGTGGGATGGTATGACCTTTAAGGTCGTTCCAACCCAAACCATTCTGTGATGCTATGAAATTGTCCCCACAATGTCCATGTTGCTTCAGGCAGGAGGGATCCTTTGGGATGCTGCAGTGATGTTTGCAGTGTTGCCATCCTCCTTCCAGCCCTTCCTTGCCTCACAGCACCTTTACCACCCCTTTGGGCCTCATCCTGCATCGCTGCCAAATCCCCACGGAGCTGACACTGGGGCTCAGCGGTCACAGGTGGCTCATCCCTCCACATGACAGTATTCCCTTTGGATTTGGGAGCCCTTTCCGTTTGGTTTCACCCAAGCACAGTCTCAGAACAGACCATGCCAATCATATATTTGATTTTCTAATACACTGTGTTATGGGAGATGTTTTGTGGCTTCTGATACTCTGGTCCTGTGTCATGTGTTTCCACTCAAACTTGCAGCACCAGCAGCTCATAGGGTTTCCCTGTTGGTATCTCTTGAAAGTGGAGTGTACTAATTGCCTTCTCCTAATCTGGATTTTCAAAGTTTTGCAGCTTTTGGGTGGTTATGTTTTACTGCTACAACGTAGAGCTTTCAGCCACGAGTGAAGGGGCTGCGCACGCCGCGCAGGGTTCGGCCGTCGCCAGAGCTCCTGAAGACTCTGCCTGTCTCTTTCACCCAAGAACAGCTCCATCTCCCCAACCCCACACAGAGCTTTGTCATTTCTCCTGTTAGTGCAATCCCTGCCTCTGGCACTCAGCCCTTTCCCTCCCTACTCCCCTTCCCACCAGTTCTGTTGCAGGTGCTCCAGCCCTCCCCTAGAACAGGGCTGACCCAGCAGCTCACCCCCTTTATTCCCTCTATTTTTTTTAACTCATGCATTTGGCAGATGAGAGATTTTTCCAGCAGACCTCACCCTCCTGAAGCTGCCTGTTGATTTTATGGAAGGCCATGTGAGGCTCCACATCTTCCAGGGTCTTAAGGAAAAGGCAACGCAGGAGGAAAAGGGGTGATGCTTAGCCAGCTGGTTCCTCGAGATGCTTTCCAGTGGCTCCATCTAGCTCCTCGTGGCTTTAGCTCCTCCCCCAGCCCTCCCAGGCCCTGCTCCTGCACAGTGGTGGATAGCCAAGGTGGTCCTTCTCTCTTCTCTGAGCCAGGAGCAGCCATAGGGTTCTTGGATCCAGGCAGGATTTACCCTTGGAATCCTCAGCAGACTTATTTCTGCTTTCTTTTTCTACCTAGCAGGCACTTGCCTTAGACCTTCATCCAGGACAGATGCCAAAACTTGTTGTTTTCCCCCCAGAACTGTGCCAAAAAGAGTAAATGTTGTCAAAGAGGCAGTTGGGGTTTTGCCCTCGGAGAGAGGGTGGTGTGGCCTGGGAAAGCTGCAGAGATGCAGATATTTGCGAAGGATCTTCTTTGGGGATGTGTTTGCTCTCCCATCTTCTAAAATCAATGGGCTGAGTAACAACTAAAAGCACAGAGACAGTGAAATTTCCCAGTGATGCTTTTACTGACCTTGATTTCCCCTTTCTTGCTGCTTTTTGGCCCTGTCCAAAAAAGCTATTGTTTGGCTTATGCCTATTTTATGCAGAAGCTTTGTTTTCTCCCACCTCTGATTTGCTTGCAAGGAAAGACTACCTAGAACAAATTGGCTTGCCTTGAAGTCTGTGTGTTCATGCTGTAAATTGGCATCATCACAGAGTAGAAATCTGGCTTTTTTTCCAGATGAAAAATTTTAGCAGGAATTTCTTGATTGCTCCAACGTGAAGTAAATTCTCAGTTTGATTAAAAAAACCCAAATCATCTCATCTTCATTTCAGAAGTCTAAAACCTCCTGTGGTAGTTTCTGGAGGGATGAGATGAGAAGGGGAGGAAAAATGCTAATGGGGATATTCTGGGAGCAAAGATAGTTCCTAGTAGGATGAAAGAGAAATGAGTGTGAAGAGAGTAAATAAAATTGGGAAAACATTTTCTTAATTATTAATTGTATTGGTACCTGGGAATATTCAGGCTAGCAGGGGGAAAAGAAAGCAAACCCACCCAATTTTGAAGGATTTAGGGTTGGACTTGATGATCCTTGAGGTCTCCTCCAACCTGATAGATTCTATGATTCTATGATTAAATAACCCAAAGCTCCTCCAACCTGATAGATTCTATGATTAAATAACCCAAACATAGTCCTGAACTTGAGGAAAATCCTATATGGGGAAAAAATCCATGAGATTCCAGCTCATCTGGTTTGGCATAGCTTGAGATGAACCATTGGCACGTCCCACTCCTGGAGGAGCTCCTGCTCTGTGGTTGCAGTTGATCCCAGTTATTCCAAGAGGAAAGAGGAGAGAGGATGCTCCCTTTGTGTGTTGGCAGTGTGAGCACATTTGGGAAGTTGGCAGCAGCTCTGCTGAGCGCAGCTTTGCTAAGCACAGCCCTAGGCACTCCCAGCTCCTCTCCCTGGCGCTTCACTCATCCTGTCCTTTCGCTGCTAGGACCTAGATAAGACCCAAGAAGAAATCAAGAAGCATCATGCCAACATCAGTGAGCTGAAGAAGAACTTCATGGAGTCCGTCCCAGAGCCTCGGCCGAGTGAATGGGACAAACGTTTGTCCACTCACTCCCCGTTCCGAACCCTCAACGTCAACGGGCAGATCCCCACGGGAGCTGACGGAGTGAGTACCTTGGGGCCTGGGGGTGCCAGGGGAAGGCTCTACAGGGAGGGATTCAGCCTCAGCTCCACTTGGTTTGTGCTTCTGTTGAGTTTTCATAGTTAGTGTTGACTATGTTAATGTGTCCCTGAAAGAATCGAAGCTTTAGTTGTAGTATGAAGATGTGATTTGGGGGGGAGAAAAGGATGGAGGATTCTTCAGCTGGTTTTGATGCTGCTTTTCCTAGTGTTGCTGGCACTGTGATGCTAGAGTTGAATTCCCATGGCTGGTTTGGGGATTTATTCCTTGATCTCCCCCCAAGAAAACTCAACAAACCCCAAATCCAAACACCTAAATTATTCCTTCAGAGAGAGAATGTTATAGATAAGCTAGTGGAGAAGCACTAAGATGAGATAATTCTTCCAAAGGCACTTTATTTTCCAATTAATCCAGGATATCATTGGGTTTAGACTTGCATTAGGAGCCCCAAGTGCTGATCTGCTGTGGAGGCTTCAAGAAGACTCCTCAGGTGGCTACAGCAGGGCTGCTCATATGTGGTGGGAATGTCCCTCCTGCCAGGAGCAGAGCCTGTGTGTTAGTAGCCTCAGACATTCACAGTTTCTCTGCTTGTTTCCTTAAAAAAGGTCATTTTCCAAACAAACCAAGCTCTGTCTGCCAACTGGTTTCTTCTTGGCTAACAGACACCTTGTCTGTGTCATGTTGGTGGGACCTAGCTCAGATTTGGAGCTTGTGAGTAAAGCTGTAGTTAGTGCCTGTGCTAATCAGTCTCTTAGGTAGTAAATGTGATTTATTTTTTTTTATTACAACAAAAAATTGCATCCTGGCTGCAGTGGTGGCAGCCTGAGACTCCTGGTTTAAACCAAATTTTTCCCCTTCTTGCCCACAGCCCTGTAGATAAACTTGCATTTCATCTGCAAACCAGTGCAAGGGACATACTTAGTGATGAAATCCCCCAAATGAACTTAATCAGGGTTGGTTGTTATAGAATCCCAGAGTGGTTTGGGTTGGAAAGACCTTAAAGCTCATCTCATCCCTGCCATGGGCAGGGACACTTCCCACTAGCCCAGGTTGCTCCAAGCCCCATCCAACCTGGCCTGGAACACTCCCAGGGATGGAGCAGCCACAGCTTCTCTGGGCAACCTGTGCTTGGGATTACCCTGTTTAACAAATGGAAGGACGTTATAGAATCCCAGAGTGGTTTGGGTTGGAAAGACCTTAAAGCTCATCTCATCCCTGCCATGGGCAGGGACACTTCCCACTAGCCCAGGTTGCTCCAAGCCCCATCCAACCTGGCCTGGAACACTCCCAGGGATGGAGCAGCCACAGCTTCTCTGGGCAACCTGTGCTTGGGATTACCCTGTTTAACAAATGGAAGGACTCCC